TTGTTGTAGTCTAGTCTTCCCGAGTGTGACGAGTGGTATAGATGGGTACTCCAACACAGGCCTCACCAGCGCCTTGTACAGGTGAACTTGTATCTTCTCAGGCATCAATTTAAAACGTTTTAATTTGGCTGCGGCGACTTTGGCTTTATTTAGTCTGTCCTTCACGTGGGGAATGATGCCCGTCCGAGAAATGATGAGGCCGAGCAACCTGCCTTGTTTAGAGTACTCAATCTCTTCGTCGTCGATCATCAATGGGGCCGGCTTGAATTTGGCTATGGGTATGACCTCAAATTTCGTTTTGTTTGTTTTTATTTTCCATTTATTTTCATACTCCGAGATCTCCTCTATTGCCCGAGCAGTGAGTCGCGCCATCCTTGCCGTGGACCTTCCTGGGCAGGTGACGATCTGTGTTACATCGTCTGCATACATGACGTACTCGCTGCCGACGATTGGGGGTGGCAGGTCAGCCGTGTAGAGTGTGTAAAGGGTTGGTGAGAGACAAGAGCCCTGAGGCACGCCGCTCGATAGTGAGAATTCTTCTCCAAAATGTTCTTGCATCTTAATTTTGGCTCTGCGGTCCGTAATGAAGTTGCACAGCAGGCGAGTCAGATTTTCGGGTAGCCCCAGTTGTATGATCTTATACTGCAGTCCTGCGTGCCAAACTTTGTCAAACGCCTTGCTGACGTCCCTCAGTACTATATTGCACTGTAGGCGGCCAGTCATGGCATTGGCGATCTGCTCGTAGGCCTGAGCTATGGCGGTGGATGTGCCTCGGTACTGGCGGAAGCCGAACTGGCGGGGATTATGCACGTCTTCGTCCTCCAGATACATCCGCAATCGCTTGTTGACTATTTTTTCGAAGATTTTGGCAGGTACCTCTAGCAGCGATATTGGTCGAAAGTTTTCGACTTTGTTTGGAGGCTTCCCTGCTTTTGGTATGAGGCGAATAACGGCGATTTTGAACATCTTAGGGAAGTATCCAGAGGCGAGGCAGGCGTTGCATATATGAGCAAGCCTCTCTATCATGTTGCCGGGGAGTTGAGCCAGGATCTTCTTGTTAATGTGACTTTGACCAGGTGATTTGTTTTTAAACCCTTTTATGACGGCTGACACATCTGCAGGAACAATGCGTTCCGTCAGGTAGCTTCCGTCCACCAGTCTGGTGAAGTCAGTCCGTGGGAGCGGCTGGAGCAGGTGCTGATGGTCCTGCAACTGACCTAAAATGTCCTCCTCAAACTCCCTGTCGAAGCCCTCGTTCTCCTGTTCACTAATGGTAAAGATCTTTCGTAAATATCGCCGATGTAGTTGTTCTTGGTTTTCTTCCTCGAATATTTTTACGTTGTTTTGGTCGAGCAGGTAAGGGACCGTGCTAGAGGTGGAACCCATCAGTCGCTTGATCCCTTTCCAGAATGCAGCAGAATCGCGGTAATTGTTGGCTGCCTCCCACACCAAGGCGGCCCACTTTTGTTCATGTAGACGTTTGCTCTCGTGCTGGATGTCCGTCTGTAGCTCTCGGTACCGGTCTCTCAGCTCCTGCGTCCACCCGCGGATACTGGCTAGCTGTCTCACGTGAGTGTACTGGACACTGAGCTGCCTCAGCTGGTGACTAGTGTGAGGATGGGGAATGGTCCTGTAACTGGTGGTCGGGATGTTGTTGTCCATCTCCGTCTTCACATCCTTATACCATTGTTCGACCGCGTCGTCGATGTCATTAGGGCTGGCTTCTTCCAGGTTTCTCCCCTGCTTGAGACTGAGAGACTCCTTGAAGGAGTCCCAGTCTGCCCGTTTGAGGTTTGACCTGATGTTGGCGGGTATCATAATGGGATTGGATGAGAGCGTCACGACGACTGGCAGGTGATCACTGGTACTGATGGGTCCGGCGGTAACGTGCCTGTTCAGGACGGCCTCGTTGTTAGAGAGGATTATGTCGGGTGTTGTGGCACTGGCACGTCTGATCAATGTCGGGAAATCTGGCCCGAGGTGTTGCAGTTTTCCCCTTCTGATGTTGTCATACAGCGCCACACCGACGTTGTTCTCATTACCGTGTCCGAGTATGGCGTGGCGCGCATTTAAGTCCCCTATGATGTATGTTGGTTTTCTGTGGCGTAGCAACTGGTTTAGGTCTTGTTCGGGTAAGTAAGGACGTCTGGGAGGTAGGTACATCGTGCATATGATAACAGATCCCCTAGTTGTCTCCACCTGCACTCCTAGAACTGAATCCTCGAAGTCTGGCAACACTCTATGACTCAGACGTGACCTGACGGCCACAGCGACACCATCGTTCAGCTCACCCGTCATGTTCCTCTGGTATACAGTGTAGCCAAAAATTTTCAGCTTACTTTCGTCCTTTATGCCCGTACTGTTTAACAGAATGATGTCTGGGTCTAATTGATAGTATAAGTTAGACAGTTCATTACGTCTATTAAGGGACCAGTGTAGGACATTATGTTGGACAATTTTCATCCTGCTAACGACTGCCATTTCGGAGACTGTAGCTTGGGGCGTCGCTTGGAGTGTTTGCTCGGCTTCTGCCATTTCTAGGGGGACGGAACTTCTTAGCAGAGCCTTCGGACATCTGCTTGTCAGTCAATGGCGGGCCCTCGAACCTCTCGTCACCCTTGTACAGGAAGGTGTTCAGGTCCTGGGCCTGCGTGTCGTAGTAATCAACTGACGCTGCAGCTCGAGGGTCTTGTTCCTCTGTGGGTTGAGTCGTCATCATCTGGTCGCAACCATTGACTGTGGTTGCAGTCCGATGGTCACTGTCGTCGCTGGGAGTGCATGTAATGGGATCGCGGGCATTTACGGTGTCGTTGGAGCTGTGATCCCTGGGGGACTGACTGGCCACGTCGGGATTGCGGTTGTACTGACTTTTGCCTAAGTCAAGGAGGTCATGGTCTATTTCTGGCGTGGGTTGAGGCCGTCCATAGGTCGTTGAGTGGGTTACTGCCTTAAGGATTTCTTTTGAAGGGACTTCGTCGCTTATTTCAACAGGTGCAATGTTGTTCCTGGTTAGTGTCTCGTTGAGGTGTTTCGAGAATGAACCTGGATGAACCATGTTCATGTGATGGGCATGCAGGTAAGACAAGTATATAGTGGTGGCTTTGGACTCGTCCAGCTGTGGAGAGGAGACGCTCCTGATACTCTCCGCCACTGCGTCCCTCATGGCGCCCAGTGACTCAGTAACTGCCTGTTGTATTGAGTCCTTGATGGTTCTTATCTCTGATTGCAGGACTTCCATGGTCTCGCTGACATTGTTGAGCTTTTGGGAGTCTGCTTGAGTTTCTTTTAGAGCGTCTTTTAGGGTTTGGCTGTAAGCCATGATCGTCGACTGAGTGGTCCTTTCTATGGTGTTAGAAATTTCCCTGGTTTCTTTTTGTTTGGTTATTTCGGTCAGTTTCTTCTCTGTTTCTTGAAGTACCTGTTTCCTGACCAGGCAGGTGGCAGAGAAGGTCCTGTGGTCACCCTCGCAGACGACACACTTTTTTATGGTGCTACGGCAGTCTTTGTAGAAGTGCTGATCAGATGAACACTCAGAGCATATGACCCCTTGCATGGGGCAGTTCTTGGTCATGTGGTCATTGTATATATAGCACTTCATACATTGTTGGATGGGCGTATACTTTTCATATTCTATTTGGTGGGATGAGATGGAAGTGCCATATGCATAGAGCCCTTTCTCCTTCATTCTTTTTGCATCCGTTGTGTCTGCAAAGCGAACCTTGATTATATTATGGGCATACATAGGATACACCTCCACAACCTTGACATTGTTTTGCTTTTGTATTTCATCTCTTATTTCTTCTGCGTTATTTTCCACTACATCTTTGTCTAACTTCTTACATACAAGGGTGAGCTTGGCGCCGTATTCCCGTGGGACAATGACCTCGTAACCGTTAATTTTCATTTTGTCCATGGCACTAGACTTAAGTAGTTTATCAGCATCTTCATCTGTTTCTGTGAGGATGATGTAACCATCTCTCAGATCCACAAGTCTATTTATTCTCACCCTTAGGTCGCTCAGTAGCCTTTTTAGCCCTATTCGAGACCCCTGGGTCGGGGTTCCGGAGATCTTCACTCTCACTTTGGCCATGGTCAGTAACATACATGAATGAATCAATGAAAATTCTACCTAATCTGTCCACCTCAGCTAAACCCCATGGATGCCGCTCCTTCTGTCCGCTTGCTGGGCGAGTAAAGACGGGTCTAGGGGTAGGGTGAACAGACAATCCCCTGGCGGGGGCCTAGCCAAGCCCTAACACCTAGCAGTGACAGGTTATGAAGCACTGTCGAATCCCTAACAGAAAATGTTGCCACCCTTACTGTCTCGACTCAGCAGCCCTCTGAGGGCCCCCCTTGTGGCTCTGCCCGCAGGGTTCGCGTCGTTACCAAACAGCAGGGACTCTAGGCGAAAGGATAGGATAGGGAAGAAGCGCAGTGTACAAGAATAATGATATCCATGTACAACTACATGATAAAGCAGACAGAACGGACCCAACGCGAAAAACAAGGCAGACAGTCGTAACGGTCAGCGATTTGAACTGAGCAGGGAGCGACGCGTGGCGCGTCCGCTCGCTATGAAGGTTGGGTGCGCTCTGTACTGTACATTAATACGCTTACCCATACATCAAGGCCAGTAAAATTGGTTAGGTTAAGTCAGGTTAGGTTAGGGCAGGTTAGGATAGGTTAGGTTAGGGCAGGTTAGGATAGGTCAGGTTAGGTTAGGGCAGGTTGGTATAGGTCAGGTTAGGTTAGGGCAGGTCAGGTTAGGTTAGCAGGTTACAGGTCAGGTTAGGTTAGGGCAGGTTAGGATAGGTCAGGTTAGGTTAGGGCAGGTTGGTATAGGTCAGGTTAGGTTAGGGCAGGTTGGTATAGGTCAGGTTAGGTTAGGGCAGGTTGGGATAGGTCAGGTTAGGTTAGGGCAGGTTGGGATAGGTCAGGTTAGGTTAGGTTAGGTATCTTAGGTTAGACTATAAGTTATAACCTCCAGGAGCTTCACTATCTTATCCTAGTAACTGCACGTCACAGATGGTCAAGAATTGGCAGTTGGGGGCGTGTAAGAGGAGGTAGCGACCCGTCACAGGCTGGGAGGGCTTGAAGGTCACCAACATCCCCCAGGGCGGAGCTGACCCTGGGAAGACGTCGAATACTGGGTTATCCACATAGTTACTTGAGTTACCCAGATAGACAGTGACGCCGAGGAACAGTGACTCAGTGAAGTTATCCCGCCTCGTCTGAACCAAGATGGAGGACACTCGAAGTGGCTGGCCCAGGTCGGCCCTCCACCAGGAATTAAAATCATGTCCGGAGGTGAAGCAAAAGTAGTTGGTGGCGTTGCAGAAGAAACCACTGACGGCGTATTTTACAAGACGTTGTATACCAAACTCGGCCGAGGAGGAGACGCTCACGATGTGGTGTGTGAGAGAGTTGTTGACGTGCCAGCTCGAGTAGCACTTGTCGTACAGGTGAGTTGAAGGTCCAGCTTGTCCTCTCCAATGAACAGACACCTGAGCGCTGAACACATTACACTTATTACCTGCAACACAACACACTTGAAAAGTAACACCTAATACCATAGCTCACCCTTGAAGTAACACCTAATACTGTACTATAGCTCACCCTTGAAGTAACACCTAATACTGTACTATAGCTCACCCTTGAAGTAACACCTAATACTGTACTATAGC